GGGGGGGGGGGGTACTGGCAGTGGCAGAGTTTGAGCTGTAGTTACTGACTGAACATGTTGCTGCTTTGCCATGTTGGTTCTGCTAGTTGTGTTTGTGTTACCTCAATGTCCACCCTTCATGAAAAGCTTGCGTGACAATGCAGTGGCACCGCCTAGTGGTGGAAAATGCATCTGAATCACTGAGAATGTACATTAGTTTACTCATAACACTGATTTCGTTAGTTAATAGTTTTTGTTCATTCATTGTAGTCTGTTTTACGTTGTATGTTGACTACAGCAATGTCTGAAAGAGATCAAAGGTCATACAGTAGCTGATTACTAGATTAAGAACACATTAAGATCATATTTACTGCTGACCAGTAAGGATGATGGTTCATATCTTTGTCTGATATTATAGAACTCTCCTTTTTCTTTCATCTCTCTCTCTGTCATCCAGCTGCCTAACATGTTCGGCAATGTACGATCAACCATCCTCTCCCTGATGATCGGCTCCTATGCTTCTTCAGCCGTCACCTTCCCTGGTGTCAAGGTACACACACACACACACACACACACACACACACACACACACACAGACACAGACACACGCACACACGCACACATACACACACACGTCCTTTTTATCCAACATAATCGTCACAAAAAATACTTATTTAGGATTGTTGTCGCGAACTTGCTTGTGCAGTTTCATCATAAAATATTCAGTCAGCAACATATTTGCCAATTGTGCCTATTACAGTGTTCTATAGTGAAGAATATGATTTTTGTGGAAAATACATGTGATTGCTGAAAGCTGTAGGAAAAGTACAAGAAGAGTTACGGGAACAGAAACAAAGACAGAAAGAAAAGAGAGAAGAAAGATGGAGAAAGAGAGAGAGGATGGGAGGAAGAATGAAAAAGATGAGAACCAAAGGATGATGAATAGATTACTAAAACGTAGGCGGGCAAAGAATGTAGCGATAAAAAAAAGTTGCAGACTGATTGATGATTGGATGTCATGATGTTACTGGGTGAAATTGTTTGGTACTGGCTTACGTACGCACTCGGCATATTTTGTTTTACAGGAAGAAAAGGTCATTGGATTGTGATGTAAAAATATGGAGAAATTGTTATTTAGTAAATTTGTTGAGCACACATTGTTGCTCTACGTGCACAATATGACCGGAGATGTGATCTATATAGCTTCAAAAAAATCATTTTTCATTTCATCTCGACTTCAACATATTTTCCTTCTCCCTCATTCCTCTTCTGCCTGTCTCTCTCTTTACTTGTCTTCCTCCCAAACCCTCCTCTTACCGCTCCAGTTGATTTATGACCTTGGCGTGTCGTTCCGCGTCATCATGTGGGTTTGGTCAGGTATGGCCTGCACAGTCTTCATAAACTGCTTCCTCAACTGGCCTGCTGAATCCTTCCCTGCACCTGAAGACATCAGATACACGTCAGTGCACATCCTGTAGTAACATTATTGTACTTGTCAAAACACACACAATCACAACCTTCACCGGAAAATCCAGTTAGGAGTTTCACCGTGCCACTCCATAACCGCCGTTATTTTAGGTTCTTTATGGGAAGACACATTCAATTATGATTAAAACTAGATTTTTAAGCTGCATTATAACTATTATTTTTGACTACTTGGGGGAAGCGTAGCAAACAGTTCAATATGTGAGCATGTGAAATCCATTCATATCCTATTATGCTGAGTGATCAGAGAAACGTGGCTGACGTGTTTCAAATGAATATCTCTAGATATATATCTCAATTTCCCCCCAGGTACTACTTCGGCTTAGTTAATCTCCTTACTATATTATGCAGTAATGAATTGGCTCCTTGCATAGTGACCAGTTTGGCAGATTGCAGGGAGAGTGCAGAACAGAGACTGAAGACTTGAACAGATTCAGCTGGTCTGTCAGGGCAATGGGAAAACAGTCCAACACTAGAACAAGATAACTAGTCAACTACTGGATAGATTGCCATGAAAACTGATATGACCATTCCCAGTCATCGCAGGATCATTATTATCTACACCAGGAGATAATGAGAGCCGTTGTGTGAGCTATATCTGTCCACAGATAATCTTGCACACTGCTGCACCAAACTGCACATTATTTGGGGTGCTCATTTAGGTCTGCGTGCTCAAGGACCTCTCTGGTGGTTGCAGGGACTCACACGTTCTCAAAGCACCCTTTTTATTGTTTCAGTCTGGCATTTACTGACTGCTGACTCCAAACTCACTACTCTTAAGATTTTGGTAACCCCTTTCCTCCGACACCATCAATCAGGTCAGATTTTCCACTTTCCACACATTTTCCATATTTATTTCCATTTATATTTATTTCTTTAAATGTACGGAACACTTAAATGCTGAGCCATCTACATGTTGGACACTCCACGACTTGAAAGCAGATGTCCAGTAAAGAAATCCTGGATATATCACTCAGCAGGTTCAAATGTTTTTGAGATGGTGCCAGGTGTAAATTACTTCTCATTGGATCACCATTAGGTAAGGGCTGGAGTTATTTTAGATTCTCTATCATACATTCAATCACCTTCTCTTTTCTCAGCAGTAAAAAGGTGAAGCTGAGTGGACTTGTGACCGAGGACAAGATGACTGGGGACAGGTACGTCACCCATGTTGCTGTCATGGAAGACATGATGGGACCTAAGCAGCCAGAACCCGAGCAGACAGACGCTCAAAGCACAACCCAGGGTATGGAACATTCTCATTGACATTAAACTTGTGTTGTATTTATATTTATATATCCATCTTACCAGGATATGTTAACCCATACAGACTGGCAAAAGAGCTAAACAGCTTACAAGGCTCTGCATAAGGATTATACAAATAATGTGTTGTGAGCCTTTCTTTATGCTAAGCTAAGCTAACTGCCTTCACAGAAAGAATGTCATATAATGCTAAACATGTTTAAAGGCTTCAACCCGATCCCTTGGTCAGACCCCTTGGCGTCCCTTTCTAAAGCCCTGGGTAGCCCAACGCGTCAAACTAAGACGCTCCACTCCAGTCGCCGTAAACACAAGGTTCATGTTGTGAATTCAGACAAAAACATTTGCTTAGATTTGGGCAACAAAACCACTTAGTTGGGTTTAGGAAAAAAAGATTGTGGTTTGGATTAAAAATACTACATTTGTAAAGTGAAAATGAAACATTTCCCTATGAACACAAAGACAAAAAACAAATTGTTGGTTTTACAGAAGACACAAACAGCAGTCTCCTGGGTGAAAGTCCTGTGTTTGTTTGACCCACCTACCCTTCCCAGATTGGGTTACATTGTAGTTGCTTTAAAGTCCGTTGTGTTTCATACAGATGCTAAAGGGAGCCTTGTGCCTCAGTATCATATGCCGACAGACGTGGCAAAGCGTTGGTATTTGACGCCCTGAGTTTGAAAACGAGCTGGGAGCTTTCAGTTGGTTGTGAAACAGTCTCAATGTAAAATAATGTAATACTGATGCCTCCATATGACCTACATAAGTAAACGAGACCATCATAGAGAAGATTGGCTTTTTCTATAATTATTCTTAATGCTTGTTTACTGATGACAAGCATTAAGAATAATGCAGGTTCACCAGCAACTCCTTCAGCTCTGACTCCAGTGGAGCCTCCAGCAGCAACCAGCCCGCTGCAGACAGCCGCCTTTAACCTGCAGTCGGAGCCATATATATACAGTATTCAAGAAGCCTAGTAATCAAATAACCTACGAACCAGAAGAAATTCATAAAACATTTAAAGATTACTATAACCTTACTTACAGCCTAAGACTGTCAATGAAGATAACATTAAACAATACTTGTTATCATTTGATCTTTCTTCCATAGGAAAAATATAAAATGACAAATGAACTGCCCCCATCACAAAAAAGAACTGGACATAGCGATTAGTAAATTGAAAACAAATAAATGCCCAGGGAGTGACGGTTTTCCGAATGAATGGTATAAAATCTTTAAAGAAGACCTCGCGCCTGTATTGCTAGAATCCTTAAATTGGACACTCAGCAAAGCCGTGGCACCACCATCATGGAAAGAGGCCGTGATATCAGTCATCCCAAAAGAAGATAAAAATAAAGAATGTTGTGAATGTTATCGTCCAATTTCTATATTGAATGTAGATTATAAACTGTTTAGATCTATAATCTCAAAAATAATTCAACACTTTCTGCTCAAATTAATAAATGAAGATCAGACAGAGTTTATAAAAGGTTGACAAACACAGGATAACATCAGACGAACACTACACATTATAGAACAGGCTAATAAACAACATCTAAGTGCAGCTCTGGTCAGTCTCGATGCGGAAAAGGCATTTGATAGAGTCAGCTGGCCTGTACAGAGTGCTAGAGAGGCTGGGTTTTAATAACCAATTCATTAGGTGCATACAATTTTTATATAGAGACCCAACCGCTAGAATAAAGATCAATGGCCATCTGACAGGTAGTTTTAAGCTGTTTAGAGGCACTCGCCAGGGCTGCTGCCTAAGCCCCTCCCTTTTTGCAATATTCATAGAGCCTCTGGCTCAAGCGATCAGACAAAACAAAGAGCTGAAAGGGATCAATACAGCAAAGGAGGAACATATTACGACTTTTTGAAGATTACATTATTACCTATCTCCAAAATCCCAACTCAACAATTCCCAAACTTATGACAATTTTGGCTGACTACGGTTGGATGTCGGGCTATAAATTGAACATCACAAAAACACAGGTACTCTCTCTTAACTACATACCAAGTAGGCTTACTGTGCTAGTGGACTCAACTTTTGCCAACATGGATGGACAGTATACTTTGGAACTACTCTTGTTTCACAGTGAAACTGGTTCTTTTAATGTAGTGTCAAACTCCCTGAGGCTTCAACGTGCTTTATTAGTCTCATCCATTACATGGGAGTGTTTCAAACTTGTTCCTTGCTCCGCTGGTAGTGAATTCAGTGAATTTGGATACTGATTCAATGAACATTAGGACACTGAACAGCTATCAGTTATCTCCATTTCAATCAGGAGAGACTTCATTAGAATTTAACGGTAATTTGTAATTTATAATTTGAAATTTGAAATGTGCAACGTCTGTGGCGATTGGACTCCATCCTGAAGTAGGATTATAGAGTGGTAGTGATGCTGAGGTCACAGAAGGCAGAATTCCCCTGTAGTCCACTGGTGGTGGTGGTGATGAAGGGAGTTGCTACAACCCGATGATGAATGAGGAGCATGACTGTGATGCTGACTGGAGGGGACTTGGGTGGCGGAGGGTCGCATCCGATTATGCTGAAATGACAACTGACAGCAGCAGAGAGGAGAAAGTTTGACAGCAACGATGTGATTGACTTAAAGAAACTGTGTGCAGAATCTGGTTGGTTACTTAAAAGTGAACGCCCACAGTCAGCTGATAGAGAGATTATGAATGACAAGAAGAGTAAAGAGTCTTCCTGACTGAACATCTGCTTAAGCTTCATGAACCTCTGAAGTTGAGCATGTCATGTAATGCCAACTCCAGGGTTAGGCTAATCAGTGCCATGAGAATTAAAAGAGAAACAGTGTATTCTGGGAATTTTCCATGGAACTGAACTCTCAGTGAATAGTTACAATTTAACTGGAAACTGAGTGACTCCATGAGTGGTCCTCTATACACATTATCTCTCTCTCTTCTTCTTCAGGCTCGCTGCCACTCTGTCATTCTGTGTGCTCTCCCATCTTCCTGTGGAGTATCATCACCATGGCAATGACCCAGCTGAGGCTGATCTTCTTCATGGGTGCCATGAACAAGATGCTGGAGTTCCTGGTCACCCACGGCAACCCTAACCGTAAGAGCGCTAACCTACCTGAATATTTTAAAATAATTGGAATACTACTTTGTTATCATTGAACAAAACAATGACAAGAACATGGACATTGTCTGGTATCACTTGTCAATAATGAAGAAGATAGGTGAAGAATCATTACACACTGACTCAATCATATCTTTATACCACATCACCTGACTTCCTTAGCGGCAGCCCTGCACACCCTAGCTCACGATTACATGGAGTATATACAAAATACAGTGATTTACAATTCATAGGTATGAGTATGAATAGTGATTGAGAAGAGGCTGAGTCACACAAACAGGGCTGAACGCTGACCAGACGCTGTTGTTGTTTCAGACTCAGAAGAGCTGCAGAAGGAGGGGGAGGAACAAGGTAAGAGTTTAGAGGCTCACTGGAGTTCCTACAATGTTTAGACTGATGTTTCTAGTTGTATTTTGTGACTACTTGACGTCTTTAAATGTCCAGAAATGTATTCATATCAGGCCTTTGAGGGAGCAGTTACAATATTGGAAAAAATACATTATTATTGAAACACATGGCAATGATAGTATTAGAATTTACAATAAAGTATTTTAAGTTTACCAGTGTGGGATCCAATAAAAATATTACAACCTTATTGTTGTTATGATACTGTATTCATCAGGTGGACGATAAGCAACATGTGACTGAGGTCATGCCCTCTGCGTACTTGGGCCTTGTGTTACACTGATCCCAGTATGTTTAGACCCAGTGTTTCACCATCTGAACTGTTGAAACATCATTTCGACCTTCGTATCAGGAAAAGAAACCTTCAAACATTTGTGTGTTATGACCTCAGAATTTCTTAAATAAGACAATAAGTAGCCTTCTGTGTGTCACGGCTTCAATCTGTCTTCTCTCCACGTGTTCCTCTGGACTTCACTATATCTCGGCATGTCCTCCTCAGTTGGTTTCTACTCGTCTATCTTTGGTACGATGCAGCTGTTGTGTCTACTGACTTGTCCTTTGATTGGCTACATCATGGACTGGAGGTTGAAGGAGTGTGCAGAGGAAAATGCCAACACACAAACAGAGAAGAGGTATGAAGAGAGTGCAGTGGGTTCTCTTTAGGTTTAGACAGCGTGTTGCTACATTTATAAATTGCTGTACAGCAGTCAGCAACACAGAGGATTGTTTTAATACATTAGTCTTAGAAGGTTTCTCTTAAATGTTGTATGTACATTGAAATAGCTTTGGGTTGCTGCCCATACCGGCCCTGAAGTGATCCTCTCCTTGGCCACACTGTAAAAGACCAAAGAAACAGTTTCATACTCTGCATCCACCCCTCCGCCTCTTTTGACATTTGTCCCGTTCAGCCAATCAGATCCCGCAAAGAGAGACAGAAAGATCCAGAAACTGACGAATGCCATGAGAGCTTTCACCTTCACCAACCTCCTATTGGTCACCTTCGGAATAATTTCCATGTTTGACAACCTGCCTTTACAGGTTAGAAAAATACTGTTTAGGAATACAACCTATTTCACATATTATACTAATACAGAAGCAATGCCTATGACTTTACAGACACACAGATAAACAAACATAAAGTGTCACTTTTGATGATCATTTATTAATCTGCTCTTTGTGTTTCCTCTATTAGTTGGTGTCGTTTGTTCTGCATACCATAGTGAGAGGATTCATCCACTCCTGCTGTGGAGGACTCTATGCTGCTGTGTGAGTACCACCACTGGCATCTTTCTATTAAAAATGAAATGTGAAGAAACCCACAAAGAATTACCCCCCGACTCTGCAATCCCCCTCAGCCATAAACGCTGGTGTGGTGAAACAAAACCTACTCTGGACAGATGCAAACACAATTTTAGTTCCCGTTAAACTGCCTGAGTCTGTATGTGCTGTCAGTTTGAGCAGCTATTTTTGCCAAATTTTACCGCGTTGTCCTGCTGCTTACATATTCGGTAATCCTCTCAGAACCAACTATAAATGTATTGGAGCGAAACGTACAATATTTCCCTCTCCCTGAGGTGTAGAGGAGTAGAAGTATGCAATAGCAAATAAATGGAAGTATGTTCGCTTGAATACAGTACTTGAGTAAATGTACTAAGTTACATTCCACCACTCAGAATTGGTACTTGATCCTCCTGTATTGCTCGGGTTAGACTGTTTTAACTGTGAATTAAGACAATGAAAAGACATTTCTCTTTGATTGTGATGATTTTTATCTCCCACCTTGCTTTAGGTACCCAGCCAACCACTTTGGAACACTGACAGGCATGCAGTCAATGGTCAGTGCTGCTTTCGCCTTGCTTCAACAACCACTGTTCATTCTGATGTTGGGACACCTGAGTGGAGATCCTTACTGGGTAAGGAGCACACACGCACGCGCACACACGCACACACACACACACACGCACACACACACACACACACACACACACACACACACACACACACACACACACACACACACACACACACACACACACACACACACACACACACACACACACACACACACACACACACACACACATACACACACACACACACACACACACATACACACACACACACACACCCCATCAGGATATGAATACATACAACAGGTTTTATAACATGCACTGACATGTCTCTCCTTACAACAGATCAATTTGGTCCTTCTCATCTTCTCGCTGGCTGGCTTCCTGTTGCCAGGCTATCTGTTCTATCACCGTAGAAACCTGATCAGGGCAAAGGCTGAGCGGGATAGGTTGGCTGCCAGCCAAACAATCAAAGAGATTGCTCCTCTAACCCAATCAGACAGTGGGACTGCTAAAAGCCAAGCCAAAGGGCATGCGGCTAATGGATACTCATCAAATGGGCATACTGTTTAAGATGACTGACAGGAGTGAAACGATCGATTGAAATTACAACGTTCAGCAGTTTAATACTCTGAGGATGTAACCTCTCTCTGGGCTGAAAACTATGACATCTAGCTAAATCAAAACAAGACAAATAACATATTGAGCAAAGTCCTCTTCTATCATTCTTTAAAACAAACAAAATACAAGATTATATCCAGCAATAGTGACACATTTTCATAAAGTTTAGGATAGAACAGGAAGTTACATGTGTAACCCTACCGTCAGGCTTCTCATTTAGAAAATGCTCTTTGACTTTTCACTAGATGCCATCATATCATTTAATAATGATATGTAAAGGTGGCTCAGTGGTTAGCACTAAGTGGACTTGTGATGGACTGGGGATTTGCATGCTGAGTAAGTTTCCAGTCCCCTAACCCTTGACCCAAGCATTAAGTGACAAAAGAACATAAAAATGCAAGGACCATAACCTGTTTCTGCACATTTTATCCTGTTGCACACAGTAGCTCTATTAATAAGAGTTTCCAGTCATTTTTCAAAGTGGAACTTAACTTTTTTAATTGTTGAATGTGCTTGAAACTTGCTTGCGTTAAAGGGGAACAACACCCAATTTTTATAATTTATACAAGTTATTTTCTAAGACAGTCAAGACATTAGCAAATATGAGCAACTCTCTCCCAAAAGCCAGAATGCTAAAACTCAAATGTGTGCGTCACCGTGTATAAAGAGTGAAACTGCTCCATGAATTGTGACAATGAACTGAGAGAGACGTTTTAGATGACACTGAGAGCAATTCTTTATTCAGGTGGTGTTCCCCTTTAATAAACATTATTAATATAGAATTCAATAAAGCAGGCGTACACATACTGTATGTTACAGTTATGAGCACTATCTGTCATCTTGACATAGTAAGATCATTTGGACATATTTTTAATGTCTACTTAAAGAATAGCTTCACAACTGATTGAAGTCTGTCTTCAAACAATAGTCTGGTGAACATGTGTACACTGACTTAGGTTTTGCGTGCTGTAATCAATCTTCATGTTCATACTGGCTATTGAAATATCTCTTCCTAATACTTTTTCTATGGAAGTTATGGGGGACAAAATCCACATTCCTTGCTCTGAAGAAAACAGTTCATTTAGTAAAAATGAGGCTTCAGCAGTCTGAGACCAATCAAGTGGATATTTGTACACTTGTTTTATTGTAAAATTCCCACTTTGTGTTGTCCTGAGCTGTTTCCTGTTGAGCTGCAGTGGAGGGAGAGTAACAAAGAGAGGGAATCAATTACTAAACAGATTGTAAATTTGGACAATATTCACAAGACTTGGATTGTTGAAACTTCACATTAGCTTCAAATAAACTTTTTAATACACTCAGTGTTGCATAGAAAGAGGGCTGTGGACATACATTAAAGGTGCATCAGTAAGAGATCTCTTCATGACCAGTGTGAACAGGAGGAATGGTCACAGTAATCAGTGTATGGGCACCTCATTATTATAATTGTGAACCTGCCCTTCAAGGTTAATTAGCTGTAAATGACAAAACGTAATTTGTAATCCTGAAAGAAATGAGACAATTATGGTCGTTACAAGAAATGTTTATCTCAAGATAACGAGATGTTTAAAATGTGACGATGTAAGAAATACATAGATGGAAAGTTGAATTCAGAAATATTGAAACACACTTTTGCTAAATTCTACACACTCAGGGGTTTTGTTTCTACCACGTTACTTGATCCGGTAAGAACAGTAGCTTTGCTCGCTCAATGTTAGCTACTGTTACAAATGTTAGCTAGATATTGTTCTGCCATCACAAAGCCACTTTGCTGACTGGATGACTCTTCTCTAAGTGACAATGATCCTGTAATTGGCGCTTCTTAAGTCCCACCCCTTTTCGCTCTGTGCTCCGGTAACAGTTGAGTGAGCTTTGAATCCGGCAGAACCTCCGTCAACTTTCCTGTTATACTTCACGATGCTACATCTGTTCGTTGGTGCCACATTCTTCACGGACACATTACATTGTACACAGTTACTACGAGGAAATTTCATTTTGTGTTGAATTTGGTGAAAGACAAAAGCCGTAGTGTGTCCGAGCGCCAGTGGCCCTTTAGAAAACCTCTCTGTTCAACCTGCATGATTTTGTCTGATTTGGTTTCTTTCTTTGTACTATACTCTGCTGTGTGCCACCCCAAAGTTATTTTTTGTTATTTATTGTGATATACATGACGTCTTGCATCCCAACGGTAAAAGTCACCCGTGTAAAATGTATCATCATGATAATGGATTTCATTGCATACTATAGGTGTTGCTGTCGACTTCTATATTGCCTGGCGCCCAGAAATCGAATGCACACTGCAGCACCCGGTCACACTGAACTAGCATCAAAGAACTGATATTGATGAGAAATGAAATCTAATTGTTTCATTGCAACATCAGCACGCAGCAGCAAAGCTACGACTCCACCATTTTGGACTGAAGGCGACTACCATATATCGAAGAACAGATAGACGTCCACCTACAGAGTATTCTTTGTCATATATTTAATGTATCTACATAAACGGTTTGTGGTGAAAAGTATAAATATTATAAATATGCATACTATTATAACTATTTATTTATTTAACTTTGCCTCGCCTCCCAGAGAAGCATAAAGGAAAAATCCAGCACTCTTGGGATATTTGAGAACAAACTCAAACTTTTTCATGTCAAGGACCTCCAACATACATGTACAATAGACCACAGACCATGGATGTACATAACAGGTTGTGGCCTTGCTTTGGCCTGTGTGTTAATAAGTTACCTAAAATAAATACTGCGTTAAATTCAGTTTATGTTGTGCTACTCGGCTACTAGTTACATGGCTGACGTTCATACATCCACCACGGTACACACTTTATAATTCAGCCAATATATCCATTATTACAGCCACATACAGCTAGCAAGGAGCCGGCAGGACCGGATAAGTCATATGAGCGTGCACGGAGGCCATTTAAGTGTTCGCACTGAGAAGTTGATGTACCTTAAAAAGAATTATCCCGGGATTTACAGACGTATTTGTATACATTGATGACCGCAGACTCAATGGCGTTTTCAGACCAAAATGGCGGCGCCCTACCACAGTGCCATCTAGCGGTGGTTGTCAAAAAAGCACCAGGGTCTTGTCTCTGCTCCTGGACTCTTTGCCGCCGTCTCCATGTTCCTTTTTTTAAGCCTTTCTGACCTCGCAACAGTAACTAAGGGGGGCGGGACATAGGATCTCACATAGCCTTTATATATGGCAATATATTCAACATTTTAAAAGGTAGTTTCTACTCTTAAAGTAGCTACTATGTGTGCTGAATGTAGCACACATAACATGCAGGTAGTATTGCAATTAATAAGTAAATAATGAGTTCTTTGAAAAGCGCTTCCTAAATAAAATGTATCATTATTTCTGTGTGCCACCTGACATATTGTCAATTTGAGTACATGGTGCCATTAGAACAGTCTTTGGCAGGTTGTTACATTTGTCACGTAGCACACACACCTGTCTCTGTGATATTTGGATTGGATTCTATGAATGTGACTTAAAGGAATACTTCACCCCCATTATAACCATCTGTATATCAATGACTCACCCCGCGTTACCTTGGATTCTTGAAGAAACTTTGTTTTTCCTCTCACGTCTTAACGGTGAACAGAGATTCAAAAAACGGAGAAAAGTCTTGATAAAAAAACAACACACCACTGGTGCAGTAAAATGAAAGTCTAATTTATCCAGACATGTGTCACTACCTCACAAACACCATATTTATGAGGAACCATGGAGGCATGTGAGAAAAATTGTCATTTTGTATTTCTTTCATGAGTTGACTCTATTTGAGAAAAAAAACAATAACTCATTTCATTTTTTTTAAGTTTTAAACCTCAGTATAAAATGACAGACTCAGACAGCTAAAGGATTTTGGTCCCCCCTCCTCCCAACACCCACCTTCTCCTTGCCTGTGCAGGCACAGTTAAGGAGTTCATATAAGAAGAGTTAAGTGTGATAGAGAGAATAAATATACTGTTGCTTTAAAGAAGCTCTTGAATGTTACAAAGCCAGCAAACCGTGAAGAAAGAGGATTTGAAACTGTTTTGCTGTGAATGCCTTCAGGCTGAGAGCACAACATGGCTTCCAGTAAAATCTGTGAATAGAAAGCTTGGACAGTGTTGATACAAGAAATGTGACAATTGTTTAATGATGAACTTTAATGAGTGATTACATAATGATATGTAAAATAGTTCAAGTTTCTATGTGTGACATACTGTGCATGCTTTGGAAGAGCTGATGTTGAAGGGCCTTCATTTAAAGGAGCACACACACAAATAAAGAAAGTGCCTTGTTGAAAAATGACATGCTGCTCATCTGAAAGCTGTATATTATAGCAGACTAGACAGAATATACAGCACCTTAAAATCGAATGCAATCCAATACAGACACATTGGCCTCTCAAATTATTCTGCAGGGAATTGACATTGTAGGCTTCAGAGAGGTAGTATTTATTGTATGGCAACACAATGTACAGGTGCTGCTTGTATTGTGTCCACCTACTGAGTGTTATTATTTCATTGTTTATCAGTGGTAACCAAGTTGATTCTGGTCACAGAGCAGAATAATTATTTATTTTAATGATAAAGAGGGAGCTTTATTATTTAAAAAAATCATATTATCAAAATCAAACGAATGAATTAAAAGATGTTTATCATCTTAAGACCAAGGCAGAATATAATTAAGAATAATTGTCCAGCGTAAATAACTTTTTGTTCTATTTTGGGGGATTTCTGACTTGATATGCAATGTTGCTTTGTTTTGTTGTGGGGAAATGTAAAGAATTAAAAATCATTAAAAAGGTAAATTAAACTGTGTTTCTGTTCCGAGCTTCCCAGAAACACGACTGCCATGACATAGTTGTTTTACACGTCCAAGTCACATCTACTCAGAAATACACTCTGGTTCACAGGAAAAAACACCAGGAGCAGACTTTACCTTTAGTCAAGGTGGGCAATGGGCCTGCTAAAGATCCATTATGATGTTTAGATATGAAAAATATTGAATTATGTTACTATTCTTAGTCACTGTATACCCCGAAATAACTTACAAAAGGCCCCAAAGTACTTGGAAAATATGCAACTCAGCTATATGCTACTTACTGTGTACACTGTAGTACTACATTTACCTGACAGATACATTTTAATGATTACATTTCAGATTTGAGTCTCAAAATATTATTTATTAAACTATCCAGCATCATATTATAACTGAAAGCTCCACCTTAAACAGACATTAAACTATTCTAAGTACATTGTGTAGATAATGCCTTCTCTTTCACTCGAAAGAATGTTTTGAGTACATCTTCTTGTACTGCCAATACCAGCATTCCCAGATAGAGAAAGGGTGAAAGGTTAAGTAAGCGAGCGTACACTTATCAGAAGTATTACTTTCCAAATTAGCACATTACTTGCTCTGACATAACCGCTGTGGTTATAAAGCACTATGTGGTCATTCATCCAGCCTATTGCAGACTTTTTACTGTTCTTTTTTTCACAATAAATATAATTATTAATATTTGAGTATATTTATTTAATTGCAAATGTTCGCTGGTATAGCGCCACCATCTGGCCAAATCCACCACATTCCACAAAGCACTCCCTTGGGTCCCCAGCAGTAAAGTAGATTGGAGGAACGGTTCTCAAGGAACACACAGACAGAAAGACAACTAAACAGATTCCTCGTTTTATAGTTAGATAATGCCGAAATATGAGTACTAAATTGTGGAGATCAAGTCTGCTCACAAAATTCACTTGGTATGGAATTCATGAATCTTATAGATTCTTTGTGTCACGTGGCCTTCTCATCAGCATCGCAGCACACTTGATCTAGTTTTGACACAAGGCACTTCCCACTTTGAAATCTGGTTTGAATCACATTTCAAATCCCCTCCAAATGTGGTTTGAATCTGATCACATTTCATGTAGGTTTTTAGTGGCCAGACTTCCTAAAATCAATCTGGATACAATGTGGATATGCCAAAATGGGATTTTAGTCGGCAGTCTTAAAGGCCTGGATATGATGAAACAAAACAAAGTCATAGACAGAGACAATAGTTGTAGCTTCAAGAAGAAAGACACAAACACACCACTTATTTCAAACTATGTTCATGCCAGATACAGTAGTGGAATAATTAAATGTATCAGCCATGAATCTAGAAGTATTAATTTGAGTTGTAGAAGATCCTATTGGAAATGAGTGGATGGGATTTTGTTCCGAGAGTTTTTTGTTTGTTTTTTAATTTAGGCATGGGTACACAGTCAGACCTCTTCAATATGTGTAATTTACACAGCTGGGACAGTGTGGGTACCTTCACTTATTATTTATCTCTACCATAAACTAATAGCATCTAAAATCCAGAAGAAAGCAGGAAACTTAAGATCGATTCAGCCAGACAAACCCTGTTTTTTTCCTGATAATGCAACACCTTGAATAGCAAATCCATGCTGACATGGGCAGAAAGAAAGCTCGTAAACGTGCAGCGCTAACGATTGACGTTAACTGAGGTTTAATCGCATTTCAATATGATGCGTTCAAACTTGATTCAGTGAAAGTGAGCATTAGGCGAAGATTAATGGTTAGCATGTTCAAATTTTATCTTATAAAATTAAATTTTCGTGAGTTACCTGCAGGTGTTTGAAAGAAATCTTTTCACAACTATATTAAATAGATATTAGAGAAGGACTTCTGAACACCATCTCATAGGAATCGTCACAATTTCAATTCTAAATTGAAAATCGATCGAGTTGAGCTATTGATTTCCAGTATTTCTTTCTCTCCACCCCTCCTTGTGAGAAAAAAAAAAAGAAACACTTCAACTCCATAGAAAACACAGTGTAGCTTAGCGGTAGCCTGCCTTTCAGCTGCACTTTCAGCTGCACTTTCAGAGACGACATGGTCACTGACGTCTGAGAAAACACGAGAACATCGGAACTGTAAAATCCTCCTGCTTCCCTGAAGTCACTACAGTTTGTTGGCTGTGTAAGATTTACAAACTGCAGCAACCAGTGCAGCTCCCCCAGCAAAGAAAACAGCACTCAGGAACTGTTTGGCCGCTTGTCTACTCGGCTTTGTACCGCAAAACATGTAAGTGCCAACTGAGACTTCACGGTGCACCTTGAGGTGTACCTCGTAAACCCGTACAAACTCAAGCTGTTGTTGTAAAGTACCCTCCAGCCATCTAGTGGATATTTTGTTGTTGTTGTTTGTTTCCTAGTGACTGGTGTAATAAGGTATTGTTATCACATATTAAATAAATTATTTAATAGAGAACCAGATGTATTTTCATACTAATAATTGTACCATATGTGTCATACTGAACACTGACAGAATGAGTCCACAAGCACCTAGACAGAAACTGTTACAAATATTTATGTCAAGATGAAAATATGAGATATTTCCATGTGTTTCACTTTGACCACCAGTGGGTGAATCTTGATAATGTTGAATAAAGTGTTTTCAAACAAGCCAAGAAAGTGTCAAGACAAAAAAGCAATCATGTATAGTTTATACTATACCCTCCCTCCATCCCCGTGTTTCCATGATTTAATGCACGCATAAAGCCTTCAGTATTCAGTTATACCACAGCAGGGCTGGGCGGTATACCGGTTTTAATTTCCCATACAATATGAATTTTTCATATACCGTCACACAGCCGAGGCAACTTCTGTCGAGGCAACTTCTGTTGCTCTTCAACAGGCAGCAAAATATATTGTTTGCTGCTGAGAGTAATGCGGTTGGAGCTAGTTGTCGTAATTGTCTTAATGTATTGAGAGGGAACCCTAGTCATGGTCATAACTTTATAACAACAATTAACAACCCACAACTAACGCTCTTTAACAGGGTAAAACACCACACATAACAGTTTGTGACACATAAACAATTTGTAACACTAATAATTTATAAAATTTCCCTGCCGAACTGCATGCTGGGTAAAGCTCACTAACAACAGTCTGCTAACAGCTGGGAGAGGCTCTGTCGCGCCAGTAACGTTACATTAAAGAACAGAAAAGAGCGATGCAGGATGAACAAAGACTGAACAACAAAAGGTATTTTGGTCAGACACATATGCAATGCTAATTACCATAATATGTGTTGTATTTGTTATAAATGTACGTTGGTACATACAGGGTGATAAGAAGCTGTACATGGAGGGACTTAGGACCCAGGGGAATGTAGGTGAAGGAAACAGGAAGTGACTGAACGGAAGACACGCCACACAAAACAGCTGTTCACCGCTTGCTGGCCGGTTGACCAGCAGGTTCTTTTCGGCGTTAATTAATTAATACTTTAACGCGGAAAAAGAAATACCGTGATATACCGTGAAACCGCCAGAATCTTACAAAATACCGTGATATGCATTTTTGGTCATACCGCCCAGCCCTATACCACAGTATAAGTTGCTACTCTTAAAACACTGTCCACGAAGGTCATGAGCTAGGTCTTTTTTGGGTGTCCTAATGCTCAAATTGGTCATAAAAGTCTCTGGAAAATGTCCAGAATGCACTGTAAAAAAAACTAGGAGCAAGGCCTGATCATAGGATCCACTTTAATGTCTCAGTCTGATTGAGCCTGTGGCACCTACCCGTTCTCACTCCCAACTCGTCAGACAGAGTGGGTGCTTGCAGGGCCCCTCTGTGTCTGATACCAACATACTGAGTATGTTGCTGGATGGTACACAGAGCGTCATAGTTTGAGGTGTAGGGCCTCTGACTAAGCATATTTGTCGAGTTGGGAGTGAGAATGTGTTGGCCACTCTGAGCACTGAAGCCTTCACATCACCTTTTCTCAGGATTTCATAATCGGTCTCCAATGTGCCCAAACATACTAAAAGTAAAAAGGATTTCCTCAAAGAAATCGTTTTGTTTTGCACTGGAGTCGGATGAAAAGACAGATATCATATAGTGCAGAGTTGCAGTCGGGCAAGGACGTGTTTATCTTAGCTGACAGAGAGGAAACCTTGATGAGGAATAAAGAGAGGAGAGACACAACACATCTTACAGCCATGCAATACAGAGCTATGATTCAATTCAGGACATGATGATTGGAAGTCTTCTCAGAAAGTTTGTGACTTTTATAGAAGCTTGTTTTTTATTTCCTTTCCATCACCATATCTGTGCATACAGTTTGGTGTGCAGCCTGTCAGTCATCATAGCTATAAAATGAAAGGATCAAATGTTTTACTGGAAGCTATGCACTGTGTAAATCTTTAACTTCTATTTGCCTCCACACGGTCTGTTATCTCCTCTTCCTTCAGCACTCTGCCCTGCTTTTCCTGACAGTCCAATTACCTAACTATCATAAATCTGAATCTGAACCAGGAAACATTATATTGTACCTTTTTCTTTTATCTCACTATTTACAAATTCCCCCCTGGGGATGAATAAAGTATACATCTATCTATCTATCTATCTATCTCTCTCTCTCTCTCTCTCTCTGATAACTCCGCTTAATTGCTAAAAATGTAACTTGATGAAATACATTCCTCTTCTCCTACCCCAGAAACTACTGCACCAAACTTCCCTTAAAAACCTTGCAAATTTAAGTATGAGACATTTGCCCAAGCTCAAGCTGAACACGGCTCTCTGAGAAAAGGCGACCCTCACACTCGTTAAAGACACCTGTAACACGCTCACAGAGAGCGAGTACGACTGTTCTTCATCCTCCTCGTCCTCACTAGAAATCTTCTGATGCCTGTGCATGCATTCTAATTATTTTTCTCTTCTTTCAAAGTGTTCGTTTGTTTTGTTTTTGTCTTAGAATACATTTATTTTTTGTTTAAATAGGGAACGTCTCTGAATAAGCCTTACAGGCTTCCTTCCTCTCCCGTACTGAAATCACTGCACTTCCTACTGTATGTTTTTTGTATCCAAATAATTGTGCAAATAAACTAAACTAAGCTTTAAGATTTCGGGGCAAG